AGATGTTTATATTTATTTGGACTTTTATAAAAATGGTATCATGCTCTTTGCACTGTTACTTATTTACTTGTTATTATGTTTCTAAGACACATGCATATTGTTGTGAGCCTGCAATTCACTGGTTTCACTGGGGTACACACTGCATTCTAATATCACATTTATTTATTCATTCTTTTTTTTCTTTATTAAGGTATTACATATGTGTCCTTATCCCCCCACTCATGCCCTCATCCCCCTGGTGTCTGTGTCTATTGGTTAGGCTTATTTGCATGCATACACGTCCTCTGGTTGATCTATCCTTTTATTGACTGCCTTTGAGCGTGAAGGTGGTGCTATTAATAATTACACAGGACAGCAGCTGTAAACCAGGGTTGTCCTGAGAAAACCAGAACATGTGGTTTATAACTCTTTACAGTTGAGGAAACTGAAGCTCACGAGCAATTTAGCCAAGACCGCTGCCACGGACAGGTGGGAAAGCTGGCCCAGACCAGCGCTCTCAAGCATCATGTTATGTAAGCCTCCGGCATTTGCAGTTACAGAGCAAGGCTGCTATCCTTTGTATTCTTCAAAGTCCTCCTTTGATTCAAATATCTCTTATCATGGAAGGCTAAAACAGACCCCGAGATACCAGTTCAAAGAATAACAGGAAATAGGAAAGAAAACTTCAGTTTCTATCAATACTATTAAAGCCAACTGTTTATTGCCATAATCCAGCCTCATTTATCTGTTTGGGGGTGAATTTTACACAAGAGATTGAGTAACTCATGACTGACATGCTTTCTGTTGAGACAATGGGGCCTCTATGAACATTTCTGTGACTCGGTGAACATATCATCAAATATAACCTCCGACAATGGCAGCTGGAGAAATGCCCTATCAACTCAGGATGTATTTTGGCATCTATAGCTGAACTTCCTTCAAATACCTGAATAACCTCTTTAGTAGTACCTGGCACACAATGACAAATGAAAAATCAGAACAGAAATGTCAAGACTAGAACAACACTAAAGTAATGATTTACTCTCTGATTTTGCGGAAGAATAAAAAGTATTTTGTGGATTCCTACATCCCTTTGCGGCAGCATTTTTCATGCAGCATGTTTAATATTTAGATGATGTACAGAACATACATAGTTGAAAACACTTCAAACAATTTTTTCTTGTCACACTACATCACCACTTTGAAAGATATATATGGATATCATTAGCAAAATACCTTTCTTCATACCATAAACTTGAGGTTTACTTGGCAAATGCTTTGCATTTATTATTCTAAAATAATTATCCAGAATAAATAACCAGAACAGATGTCTTCTAGGTTCTCTGTTCTAATTTATATGTTCTTAACCTTCACCTTATTAGCAACTCTCATTTTAGGATAGGGCTTCTGTCCTAAACACATAACAAATGCTTAGTATTTGTTGAATGCGAGTAATGCGTTTGTTCTAAGCACCGCTTTTGATGTCAGAGCATCTGTAGCCTAAACATTTAACTCATGTGTCCCTTCTACAGACAGTCCACTGGTCTCCTCACCTTTCATCTCCATCCCCACGCCTATCTAGGAAATACAAAGAAGGGTTTTCCCAATAGAATTTTCCCTCCCATCTGACTTCTACAGACTCTGTACTTAACAATGACCCCAACTGTTAGAGCCACTACTAAGAACATGCGTTGTAGTTAGGGGCCTTGGTCTTAACATGGAGACCATAAACTGCTGGCTGGGAGCCCTTTACCTTTCATCTACATCCCCACGCCTATCTAGGAAATACAAAGAAGGGTTTTCCCAATAGAATTTTCCCTCCAATCTGACTTATACAGACTCTGTACTTAACAATGACCCCAACTGTTAGAGCCACTACTAAGAACATGCGTTGTAGTTAGGGGCCTTGGTCTTAACATGGAGACCATAAACTGCTGGCTGGGAGCCCTTTATAGTTACTGGATTCCCACCTGATTTCAAGTGCCAACTTGATCATGTACTAAATCCCATGCAGACTAGGGTCTATTTCTGAACTTTACATACTGTTTTTAATGTTTGGTCCTACTCGTCTGTACATTCAGAGGCCACACTGGAGTAATTCCTGACTCCATGGGTCAGCACCTGGCCACTCTTCCTTCCTCACTGCTCTTCAGTTGCACAGCTTGTCCAGGTATGAACCTCAGATCAGCCTCTCCAGTCCCTCCCTCCTCCTTCCACCCCCCAAATAACTCCAAACCAAAACAAACCAACTGTTCAAGTTGTTATTGGTATTGTGTTGATGTTATAAATTAACATGGGCAGAATTGAGAGCTTTCTGATATTGAGTCCTCTAATCTCAGAGCATATGTTTTTTCATTTATTCAAATCTTATTTGTGGTATTCTATAGTATTTGAATTTTTTCATATAGATCTTATCCTTTTAAAAAAAAATGTTTTTGTTGATTTTAGAGAGGAAGGGAGAGGGAGAGCGAGGTACAAACAAGTGGAAGAGCTAAGGCTTGAAATCTGTGGATGGAGCAAGCTCCTATTCCATCTCCCTGCTCAAAAAATCCGTATCAGATGTTAAACTGCTGAGAAATGATAGAATAAGGTACTTCTTATGCTTACTAGGACATGCCATGTTGTGTGTGCGTGCGTGTGTGTGTGTGTGTGTAATCATTATCCCTGACTTATTTCCAACAGGACAGGAGCCTTGTTTTCTAAGGGCCAATGACCTGTCCACACTCCCTCACACGTTTGGGAGAGGCTGCTTGGAGGGGTCCGTGGCAATGCACGTAAGAGTAGAAAGTCGTTCACAGAGACTGAACTTCTCTCAGGTGTGAGCATCTGGGAACTAAATAGCTGTGTGAGAATTTAGAAACTACGCTTCCATTTCCCAGGAAGATCTTAGAATGTGGTCTTGGAATGCCAATTTGCACCGGGGACTCTGCATACTCACTAGGCTGCACCCAGAAACCACCTGTCTCTCCGGGTCCCACTGTAAACTAAATGCTCCCCTTCCCTGAGCACCACAGAAAGGCTGAAGTATAGCTGGGTTTTTAAAACCTCACAGGTGAAGGAGATGGACAGACACTGATCAAAGGGTACGGGCCTTCAGTCTGCGATGAGCAAGCTCCTTGGGATCTAATGTACAGCACAGTGACTCCAGTACATAATACTGTGCTGTGTACTTGAAATTTGCTAAGAGAATAGACCTTCAGCGCTCTCATCTCTCTCTCTCTCTCTCTCTCACACACACACACACACACACACACACACATATACACGGTAACTATGTGAGGGGATGGATGTGTTCATTAACCTAAGTGTGATGATCATTTCATAAAGTATACTTTTGTCAAATCATCATACTAGATACAATTTTATTTGTCAATTATACTTCAATGAACCTGTAAAAAATTTTAAATCAAAACAACACCCTCATGATATAATTCATCTTCTGATTTTTTTTATTTTTCTTACTTATATCAACAGAGAAAAAAAATAGGCTTTTAAAATTAAAGACGAGATCAATTTTGAAATAACTGCTTTCCTATTATAGTAAGAAACTTTCTTTGTGTATTTTATAGTTTCAAAGGATTAACCTAATATGTCCAAACACCTTTACAGAAATAGGAAAGATATCCTATATAATAAAAGCCTAATATGCTAAGTGTCTGGTTGACTGGTCAGCCGTTCAACCAATCAAAGCATAATATGCTAATGATATGCTAAGGCCGCTCAACCACTTGCTATGACTTGCACTGACCACCAGGGGCAGATAGTCGACCAGTTGCTATGATGTGCATGACCAGTAGGGGGTAGACACTCCGATCGGTAGGTTAGCTTGCTACTGGGGTCTGGCCAGACACGCCCTGGAGCCCTCCTGTGGTTCTTCCCCGGCTGGCCAACCTCCTGTGTCCCTCCACAGCCCTGATCATGCACCAGTGGGGTCCGTCGGCCTGGCCTGTGCCCTCTCGCAATCTGGGACCCTTTAGGGGATGTTGGAGAGCCGATTTTGGCCAATCCTGCAGGCCAGACTGCGGGACCCCACTGGTGCATGAATTCGTGCACTGGGCCTCTAATTCTGTAATAAAAACCTGGGTCCAATCTTCATTAGAAAACCAAAAATTTAAGGTGGTAATTTTCTATTTTTGAACAACTGTTATCTACTTTTTTTCTCTGATGTTACTTATTTGAGAGAGGATAATAAATTCTAAATAATGTTCTCCAAACAATAAGACTTTGATGTATTGACCTAAATTCCACTGAAATTTCTTAAGTTAATTTAAAATGGTTTTTAAAGCAAACCCTGTTCATCAAACCTTATTTGTTTAGGTAATTTGTGTCAGTCAACATTCCTTAATAAAATGAAAAATAAAACTATGTAAGTTAAAAAATCTCCATACATTTTTATTCTTTCGTGTGTATTTAGTGCTGAGAAATATATTTGTCTTAAGTAGTTTGCACATATCACAGAGGATGGCATGAGAAAAAGGAATGCAGATACGAAACAGCATCATGAAAGCGAATTGCCCAGCGCTATCATATTAAGTAGAAGCACTGCCCATGCTGGATCCACCTAAGAGCCCTGTCCACTTGTGAAACAATGGCTTTTTGCTGCTATACTTAGAGCTCTTCTTTGTCATCTCACTAGGTTCTTGGTCACATGAAAAAAGCAAAACAACAGAAATAAGATGCTTTATTTCTTTTACCCAAAAGAGAGTATTCAAAATGCACAAATATATTGACTATGCTCCTTTAATAACTTCTTTGGATCAGGAACTATTTTTTTTCCAGGCTAATTTTAGCTTTCGAGAAAACTTAAAAGATAGTACTGAGAATTCCTTGTGTACCCTTACCCAGTCTCCCTTAATGTTGATGTGCTGCAAAACCATGGCACACGTATCAAAACTAAGCAGTTTACTTAGGATAATACTATTAAACTAAAAAGCACACACACTTTGTTCTAAATTTTACCAGTTTTCCCACTTACATCCTTTTTCTGTTCTGGGACCCCATGTTGAATTTAGAAGCCTTACCTTCTGATCTGTTTCATCATCCTCATCTTGGTACTCATCGCTGGGTGGACCGGAGCTGGCGAAGGTGGGTCCCTGGGAGTAGTACTGAGAGCTCCGGTAGCCATCCCGCCGCAGCTTATCACATTCTGCAGAGGGCACAGGTCGGGACAGAGAAAGGGCATTAGGAACCAGAATGCCTTTACTTCTCTTTATTGACTGTTTCTGGTAACACTTCCCTAGGCATAATAAGACTTCAAAACAATAATAATATTAAAAATGACTAAGAATTAGTACAGCAACTACTACACACTCCATGCCATGCTCCTATACTTTACAGGGACCACCTTCAGACCTCACAGCAACCCTCCGTGTCAATTTTTGACGCACAACAACTGCTTATGTAATTCCACATAAAAACCCACAAGCAATCCTCGTGCTAGGCTTGTTTCCTAGACTCGTCAGCTGGAAGTGGCATGAGAAATCACTGGTGGTAACGCTCTCATTTGTAGTTCTCATTTTAACTTTGGTGCCAAACAGCCTATAGTCATTGTGCCGAATTTAATATGAAGCTGGTGGCAGTCTGAGATGCCTGCCAGTCCACAGAAGAATGCCTGGCACCACTGAGTGGCAGGGAAACAGGAGGCCCGATGCCCTGGATCACAGGGGACTGGGGCCACTGGCTGCTTAGAGACTGGGCATTGTCCTCAAGGAGGACCCACTGCACTAATTACTGTCATCAGTGGGGGGAATGCAGCAGAGTTCCAAAGGCTTTTTAAAACTCCAGGAGCTGCTAGGTGGGCGTGGCTCAGTGGCTGAGTGTCGCTTATGGGCCAGGAGGTCACGGTTTGATTCCTGGTCAGGGCACATGCCAGGGTTGCAGGCTCAATCGTTCGTAGGGGGCGTATAGGAGCCAGCCAATCAATGGTTCTCATCATTAATGTTTCTATCTCTCTCTTCTTCTCCCTTCCTCTCTGAAATCAACAAAAATATATTTAAAAAATAATAATAAAGCCCCAGGAGCTTTCCCACTACCCAGATGCCACCTTAGAGGAGCATTTGCCTTGCAGAAGCATTTGCCACAGGTTCCTTTAAATATCCAGCTTGCTAAAGGAGTGCCAAATGTGTTTGCTTTTGGGAAAGTTTCCTCTTTGCACAGCTTTACAAAACCATGTACGTAAAAGCACAGAACCAAAGTAGGCCACCTTCAGAATTCCTTTCAAACACTGGGATCTATGATTCTTCTTCAAAGAGGAGACAGTAGTTGCGTTCGTACACGGATAAAAATTCTCCAACCAGGGAATAAAAAAACCTCACTCTCCTTAGCTACCACACAGTGGGAGTGGAAAGTTTCCAATCCTGGGCTACAAATCAGAGTTTTAAAAAGCCCACTGAAATAGCCATGAGGATCTTTAGAATGCCAAGCTAGCCCTCACCAGGTGGCTCATTTAGTTGGAGCATTGTCCCAAACACCAAAAGGTTGTGGGTTCAATTCCCAGTCAGGGCACATACCTAGGTTGGGAGTTCCACCCCTGATCGGGGTGCCTATAATCAATTGATATCTCTCTTCCCCTTCCTTTCTCTCTCTAAAATCAATAAACACATCCCTTGATGAGAATTTAAAAACAAAACAAAACACAAATAGAATGCCAAGCTAATTTAAAAGTGCATATATAATCAAAAGATAGCAAAATATTATTACTTAAGTCACTTATGGGATAAATAATTTGTGGGCTGAGCTAGCAATCATTCTTACTATTGTGTAAAATGGAAATTTTAAAAAAATTTCTGCAACTTCCAGAACATACCTTATTTTTAGTAAGTATTTAACTCATGCTAACCTAACTCTTTTCAATGAGAGATATTTTCCCATTTTCTCCAATATTTGACAATTTTTCTAAAAAAATAAATAGTACAACCAGAATCTATACTAGAGATACTGTTACATAGAGCATAATTAGTAGTTTTCAAATGTTATTCTATGCAATTTGGGGATTCTGTAATTTTTTTTGTTAACTACCGTAAAGCTAGATTTAAAAAAACAACACTCAAGCTCAACAGTTTTACATTTCATTAACCTGTGCTACTACATTAACTTTTCTGTGGTCCTACAAAACTGGAGTTTCCTAAGGATTAGGAGTGCACCTTGTAAAACACACCCATAAAAACTGTTACCACTTGCAGCCACTTACCATGTAATTCAAATACTTGCCACACGAAACAAAATACAAAGTGAAGGCCAAGGCCCCTTTAAATGAAGTCTTTCTGTTGTTCAAAAGAGTAGTTTCTCCCTCACCAATGGACCCAATAGTAAGTACGTTTGAAATGATAAAATTTTATTGTTTTAGGAATCTGCATTGCATTCTGGATGCCACGTCAGGTAATGTTTGAAGAAGATTCCCCTCCAAGGAAACAAGGATTCCCGAACTAGATCATCTCTACAGTTGATATTAGTTACGATATTCTCGAGAAGAATATTAAAATGACAAAAATGACCTCATACATGTTACATCTTAAAAGACCAAAATACTGGAAAATTATTATTCCTATGCTAAAAGCATAAAAGTCTTGCAATTATTAGTACTCCTAATAATAAACGGTGTGACACTGTTTGACCCTAGTTTAAGAGGCAACGCCTCCTTTTATCTCCATGAAGTTTATGTCAGAGAAATGTTTAAATAGTAATATAACAAATAGTAGGATATCAAATGAAAGTTGATGTTGGGTCGAAGATTAAACTAGGCAGTGTAAATATATGGCAGATCACCAATATTCTGAATCTTACAAATTTCCTGAAATCTAATAAACTCCTCAGTATCCACTGTCATTTATCTTATTCCAACTCTAGGGGAAATGTAGGGAAATTTCCCTTGTCAAGTTGCAACAGCTCTCAGTTTCTAAAACCGTGGCTTTGTTCGTTAAAAACGGAGTTTATTGTCTGTAGAGTGAGATATAAGTGCAAGCCATCATGAATAAACAAAGACTTTTCACACACTCAACAGAGTAACTGCAAGGCAAAGCAGAATTTAAAGCCGGGTTATGCCTGCAACTCCAGGCTAGAAACAAGATACTAAATGTAATAGAAGATCTGTCTTTAACGCATGCTCCTCTTGCAACAGAAATTAAGAGTAAAACCCGTTATTGTTCTCTCGGTGCTGCCTGGATAAAGGTGTCACTGTTCGTTGGGTCCTCTGATTTCCCAACCACCAATTTCCTCCTCCTTCCTTACCTGTCAAATTATTTTCTTTAGTGCAAGAACAATGAACAAACATTTCTTGGTGGACCAACGTTTGCAATATAGAAGGACAAAAATAATGTCACAGAACGAGATGGTTACCCAACCATCCCGGGAATTTAATACTGCTCTGGCTTCCAAACTTTCATGCAGCAAAGCTGTTCTCCGGGCTTTTCGTTTTAATAGTTTAGACATGGTAAGAGAGTCTCCTGCAAGAAGCTTTAAAGAGTTATTTTCCAAATAATTGTCTCTCCTGGAAACTCTTGGTGAACTTCCACTTTGTATGTTATGTTCTTTCATTTGTTGAATCAGCCACAGTGAACTAACAGTGGTTCTCAACCTACCTAATGCCGTGACCCTTTAACACAGTTCCTCATGTTGTGGTGACCCCCAATTTCATTGTTACAAATTGAACATAATTAAAGCATAGTGATTAATCACAAAAACAATATGTAATTATATATGTGTTTTCCGATGGTCTTAGGCGACCCCTGTGAAAGGGTCGTTCGACTCCCAAAGGGGTCGCGACCCACAGGTTGAGAACCGCTGAACTAGAATATGCAGCAGATACAGAGTTCCAAAATCTCAGGGGCTTAACACAACCAGAGTCTCTTTGCTGCACATTCTGCTCATCTCCTCATCCAGGCTGAGCTGGCAGGCGCTTTGCTCACCACAGTCGCTCAGGGACCTGGGGCCAGGCAGAGGGAGGCTCCACACCCACTTGTGCTGGGACAATCTGCATTTCACACCTGCTATAGGAACCTGTGCCGGAAGGACCCAGGGGTTACTTCCGCTACTATTTCTTTAGACAAAACAAGCCACATGGCCATACCTACCTTCACAGGGGACAAGAAAGAGCAATCCTACGTCATAAGCAAGGGAGAAAATGAGAATATCCAAACACAACTCTAATAACTCTTCCAAGCACAAGAATAACACTGAATCTGAGATCTTCCAGATCCCCGTTACCATTCCCCCAACAGTTACTTAATGTTTTATTTCCAATCCCTGAATGAGGCTGAGAGGCTTTGGATGTAAAATATGCAACAGTAGTGACAGGCTACTGGGTTTCAGGAGGCTGACCATGGGGGGACACTGCATGGAGGAGCCCCTTGAATGTCTGGAATCCAGACAGACCTGGCACCACCTACACCTCTGAGATCTCGGGGATATTTTTGCCTCTTGGAAACTCAGGTTCCACCTCTGTAAGCCCGGACGTCACTCCTCCTGGGAAGCTGCCGTGAGAATCACTCAGTAGCATGACCCAGGGCGCTGCTCTCCGAGGGGAGACTAGGTGAGGGTAAGCCGGAACTTGGCACACACGCTCGCTCTACGTGGCAGATGCTCAAACACAGCCATCGCTGGCAGAATATACCATGGAAACCATAACTACCTCCAACTCTCCCACTTTTAAAAGCCAGTAAGCAAGCCTATAACAAGATTTGCTTGGCTGCACAATTCTTTAAGTTTCTACCATTTTACAAAGGTGTTGTTTCCATCTTTATCAAAATATCATGAGGCTGTATTTTTTCCTAAGGATGTGTAATACCTACATCATACTGGGATTCTCTTACTGTCAATAGCCTGGATACTTAGTTCTAACTGCTCTCAATCCAAAATAGAGCTAAAATATGTTAACTGATCTCACTGCAGAACTTACAGTCATGACTTAATTGGTTTTACATAACCTGAAGCCTTCTACTTACAGACATTTTATATAGGAAGGGTATCAGCCAGGTGGGCGGTGAATGTATTTAATATAGCGTAACGACTAAAGCAAGGGCAGTATAGAGGTTCCTTGATCTGAAAGTATGTGTTAGGAGTTGAACTGTGTCCCCCAAAAAGAGATGTTGAAGTCCTAACCCCCGGTATCTGTATATGTGACCTTGTTTGGAAATAGGGTCTTCCCAGTCA